TGATTTTTAGCCTCTTTCCGTATATAAACATAGTAAGATTACTTTTCCTCATTGATATTGAAGCCATTTTGACATCGTGACATCTGCAAAATTGTAATTGTTCAGGACGGCCGATTCATATTATATTTTTTTTTATTTTGGTTATAGTTTTCTTATACATAGCAGTTGCTATTAAATTTCTTGAGGTTTGTAATATTATTAGGTATATAAACAAACAGTATACTTTTTGAATAAATAATTATATAGGAAATAAGAGGTTTCATGTGTAATAGCGACGTTTCCCTACGGAAAATGGCAAAAACTGATGGGTCACAAGGTCATATATTCACGTTTATATAACGTTGATCAACGGAACATTCCAAATAATAATAAAGAGGTCACACGTTCATTTATAACGGTGTTCTAGTAAAAACTCAGAATATATGTATGGCATAAACGCATGTGGCACAGTTTTCAACGAAAAATCCATAAAATGTGGGTGACTGTGCAATAATTATCAATTGACTCTATAGAGTATTTTAGACTCTTCTGTTACATTAGTAAGCTTAATCTAGTCAGTACAAAAAACAGTGTCTAAACGTACATATGTCGTTGTACAGCGGAGCACAAATCAGTTGTTCTATTCTGAATCTCAATATCTATAAATGAAACGAAAAAAAAAATTTATTTGAAAGCGTAGACAATAATTACGACTTTCCGACGATAAAATCAAATTCGTTTTATGTGACCACAGAACGTTATGCACGGTGCGATTTATACAAACACTGGGGTGTTATGTTTTTTGCAAAACCGTCACCCGTAAAAAGAATTCCGCCTCTGTACACAAATCATTTTTAAAATAGAATTTAATAATACTAAATCAATTTTAAAAGTGTTGGTCCCCGGCAGTAATATTAATATATCTTTTTGGAGTAATGTTTTGAGTTGAAGATATTGATGCTAAAGATTTCGAAAGGTATAAAAATTATCTGTCGTGATTTAAATTGTCCTATAGCATTACAATTCCTCCATAATTTAAGCTTTGCTTATCCTTATCTGCAATAATACATTGATGTCAAATTTTAAAATTTTGAAGAAAAGTGAAGAATATAAAATTGATTTTTTTTTTAATAAACATTAATCGAAACATAATAACGTCGTTTTATTGTTAATTTAAGTACATCTAAGTAATATCAAATGATTTATTAAACTCAATTAGGTAAACAAAATATTCTGTTGGATGTTTTTGTAATCTCGCGTTAACTGGCAGTAGGCGCGATCCGGGCACGGGCGATACCCTTCGACACTGTAGATGGCCTAGCTCCTAAAGGACTTCTCGGCCCATTATGAAACTTGGCAAGAATTATCTATACACTATTAACTAGATTTAGAAAAAAAAATTAAGGTGGTCCAACTTTGTGAAATTCAAGTTTAAAAAGTTTGAACATGATTTTTTTCAAAAAAAAAATTTTTTTTAATATCCAAAAATTCAATTATAAAGTTCATTAAATTAAGCAAACACTTGACTACTTCATTTATTTCCATTTATCTTTTCAATACCGGATAATGGGATTCGAAGTGGCGCATACCTGCCGGTTAGTAACATTTTTAAAGCTCTCTAAATCGTAAACTACATTTTAGACTGTAAAAATATTTTGTATCTGGATTGAGGACATATATAGGTATAACATAATCAAATATTACTAAAATCGGAAACATCAACTTTTTTACCTGTCCGCTTCGCGTGGAATGCCCCATATATCAGACCCCTACAGTTCGCTTACGGCCGGTTTCAATATTCTATCTACAGATAAATTTAGTTACTAGAGATATAATTTTGATGTAAATATTACGGAGCTAACATCAAATACATATCGCTAGTAACCAAATCTATCTATCCACCATTTGTAAAAAATCAGGGATTTACCAAAATTGGTTCTACGGTTAAGTCTTCAAGGCGTAACAGACAGACGAGTTACTTTGAGATAGTGTTATTCTGATGTATAAGCTGACTTCACGAGACTTAACAAGACAAGATGCTTTGTGGAAGAAAAAAGGCTCGAATAATACTGCTTTAAAAATGTTAAACTAAAACAGCAATAGATGGCGCGCAGCTCAAGAAACACCGAAAGTCAAGATTTAAAATTAATTCTAATTAACAACTATAAATGGTAACATTAATAACCTGTAGCCCTAGGTGTTTCTATGGGATGACAAGATTCGAAAAGTACTTGTAAGGAGTACACTCGCCTGGGCAGTAGTAAAATACAAATGTAATAAATATTATACATATTTTGAGGCCGCGAGCTTGGTAATTTACACTGAAAATGAGAATATTTTTGTGATAATTGTGAAAAAAAAGCAATTATTTCATTTCTCACATGTTCAACTTACTTTCGTCTGCCGTAGTAAATGTCGGGGCGGAGGAGAAACTAGACTTCTTCTTTGGTCTGCCAGGTCTTCTCTTCAACGTAGATTTTTCTGGAGCGAAGCCTGGTAAAGATTTTTCTAATGGTAAAGGGGTAACAAAAGGATCTGTGAAATGGTGCAAGTGCAAAAAGAACAGTTTCATTGTAATGAAAGAAATAGTTGTTGATATTGAAGCTGCGACCGTTATTACCTTCAGGATTAGTGTTGGCCTGTTCGTCTGATTTACCGGCCCCCTGGGATTTGAGACCTTTTCTATTCGTGGTACAATATTCCTGATTATCAATGCAACAATTGTAGGTACGATTCAGTGCGTTCTTAGAGGCCGAGCACGACGATCGTAGGCACATTCCGTGCCTATTTGTTTTTGACGGATTTTTGCCAATGTTCAGTCTCTCCCGCAGCGCAGAAGTTTTCATGTAGGAAGGGAGATCTAAAAAATTAAAAGCAATGTCAGCTTTCGTCACTTCTCCTGCCTGTATCGGTATCAAGTATTTATCTAGGCGGGAAGTTTTTAAGGTAAGTTTTAATTATATTATCAATGATATTGAAACAATAAATTACAATTCTACAACACTTTATTTTCTCAAGCAAAAATGCGTCGCTATGATCATAATAAAATGATAAAATTGCATGTACTACATTTAATATTAAATTTATAGTCCTTAAAAATAATAAAATAGGCTACCTAACAGTGCAAGAATTTTTCAAATCGGACCAGTAGTCCTTGAGATTAGCGAATTCAACCAAACAAACTCTTCCGTTTCATAATATTAAGTATAGATATCATATCTTCTTATTTTTGTCCGTCCCTACTAAAAATACTTTCGGTTGCGGTGCAGGTTCCGTCGACACCAACCCGCCGCTTTCCCTGGTTCCTAGCTCATTCTTCGTTTAACCGATCCAGTGGCGCATTGTCATTTAAAGAGTGAAATAATTTTAAAAAATTCATTTTAAAAATAAAAATTGAAACCAGCCATGAATTAACAACTAATAATTAAAAAGTCGGAGCCGTGATAGCTCAGTGTCCGGGCGCTCGCCTTTAATATTCTCCTTTAAACAAGCAATTCTTGTATATATATATATATATATATATATATATATATATATATACAACGAGTCGTTACCATCGCGACAATAAATGAACACACGTCTTACGCTACTTGCCAATAATCATAAAAAAATATTAACGTTAAACAAAATTCATAATTAAAAAAAATATTTTTCAAACTAATTAATGAAGTAAAAAAGAAACAAAATTTATAGCATCCTATACAAATCGCGCCACAGCGCCGCATTACAAGCCTCTCCTCCTAACAGTATGTTTTGTCTCTTTTAAATTCATTCAACCCATTCATATGCTTTGTGACCTTTACAAATGAACTTTACGTTACAAGTTTTATACGTAAGGCTGTTCTAAAATTGTTTGCTTTGTAAAATTTAATGAACCGGTAAATATTGATGTTTGAAGAATGTAAATGTTTGATAAAATTTTAAAAAGTTATCCTCTATATGTGTGTTCATTTATTGTCGCGGTGGCAACGACACGCTGTATATATTCGGAATCTCGGAAACGGCTCCAGCGATTTTCATGAAATTTAGTATGTGAGTAGATTCGGGGGCGAAAAATCGATCTAGCTAGGTTTCATTTTTAGAAAATGTCATTTTATCCCTGTTTTCAGGGAATGAAAAATTTAATTCGAATATGACGGTAAATTTCGCCGCAGGAGAAAATGTCATAATAGCTCGGTCGGTAATCGGGCGGCCCCTAAACAGACGGCCGTGGTTCGCGTCACGATCATTTACACATTTATTTTTTACTTTTTTTTTCGATTCCAGATCTTTGCTTTCTTTATTTTTAATTTTTTGTCGATTTGTTATTTCGTCATTTTTTCCCTTTTTTTTAAAGTTCTTTCTTTTGTGAAAAACATCAGTTCATATTTTCTTATTATTATGTCGGTAAGATCGAAAAATATTATGCATATTTCATTACTCAGTAATTTGTATCTAAATGTAATTTCCAAAATACACGATTTACCAAAAAAAAAAAAACAAAGTACCCGGTTCTCCGGGTACTTTAATATAATCGAGCAACCTGAGTTCGATCCCCGGTGCCGACACCAATGAAATTGTTAATGTTAAGTGCTGAATTATTATCGCGTGCTCAGCGGTGAAAGAAAACATCGTGAGGAAACTTGCATATTTTCGAAAAAATAATAAAAAAATATTTCGAAGATATTGTTACGTGTTTGGGTTCGAAGGATTTGGAGAGAAAGACCTGCTGACTCTTTTGAAGACTTTATTCACTAGCGCTAAGTCCAACACAAAGCACTAGGTCCAACAATAGTGTCCGCGAACATGATCGTGATTCTGGAGAGTTCGCGAATGTACTCGGTTTTCGAGACTAGTTCCACAGTAGTTCCTGTAACGCTATCTAGTATTGTATAAGGGGTTTTGTGTTGTCTTTGATCTTTGAATGGTTTTACTGGTTGACGCGAGATAGCGCTAGTTTCTTTGTGTGTTCGTAACACTACTCCCCTCTTAGAGATGCTCGTCCCGAGCATCGTTGTTGCTGCCATGGTAACGTGCCAGACGGTCTACGTGTACCACTTTGAATGTCCCTCGGGGTTGCTTTTGAATCCTATAAGTCACATCATTTCGTCGAGTTTCGTTCAAAGCTCAAGTGGTTACCCATTCGATTTCGCCGGAATCTGCACACTGTCTCTCTTCTGTACTGTGTATTATTTAACCCTAGGACTCCAAGTTATTTAAAAGAGCACTTCAAGTTTCTCGGCCATAACCGGCCAGAAAGAGTTCTGCGATCCGCTGGAGAACTAATTTAGAACCACACGCGTATAAAACCAAATATTACAAAAATTCCTTTACAGTCAAGGCTATCTGCTTGAGGAATGAACTACCTCAGCAAATTCGTCGTGCAAAGACGCTAGACAAATTTAAAAATGACGTAAAGAATCACTATCTTCCCTCTGTAATCCATAGGTAACATTGACAATAGTAATCTATTATACTTTCATATATTTATTTATGTTATTTGTAGTACCCGGAGAACCTAGCTTTGCTCGGTTTGTTTTTTTTTTGGTAAATCGTGTATTTTGGAAATTACATTTAGATACAAATTACTGAGTAATGAAATATGCATAATATTTTTCGATCTTACCGACGTAATAATAAGAATATATGAACTGATGTTTTTCACAAAAGAAAGAACTTTTAAAAAAAGGGAAAAAAATAACAAAATAACAAATCGACAAAAAATTAAAAATAAAGAAAGCAACGATCTGGAATCGAAAAAAAGTAAAGAAATAAATGTGTAAATGATCGTGACGCGAACCACGGCCGTCTGTTTAGGGGCCGCCCGATTACCGACCGAGCTATTATGACATTTTCTCCTGCGGCGAAATTTACCGTCATATTCGAATTAAATTTTTCATTCCCTGAAAACAGGGATAAAATGACATTTTCTAAAAATGAAACCTAGCTAGATCGATTTTTCGCCCCCGAATCTACTCACATACTAAATTTCATGAAAATCACTGGAGCCGTTTCCGAGATTCCAATTATATATATATATATATATATATATATATACACAATAATTGCTCGTTTAAAGGATAAGATATATTATATATTTATTTATGTTTATGTATGTTTATTATAATTTATTTTATTATTATTAAGTAAGTTTATTAAGCACACCACCTCCCACTATTCATAAGCTTAATTTCCTTGTCCTAAGGTTGTCTGGAAGAGATCGCTCTTTAGCGATAAGACCGCCTTATTGTACCTAGCTTTTAAGATTTATTTTATATGAACTGTATAAACCTTTTTGTGGTGTACAATAAAGTATATATAATAATAATAATAATAATCATTCAGTCGGGTAACCACTTTGTATGGACCGTCCCACTTGGTCTGCCACTTTGGAGATTTCCCTTTCCTGCGAGTTGGGTTATGCAGCCACACCAGTGACCCTTCCTCGAAGCCACTCGTGTTCGATTTCCGGTCGTATCTGGTTTTCATGTTCTCACTTGACTGTGACCGATTTTCACCAACCAAGGCGTGTATATAGCGCATTTTTCCCGTAAATTGCAGACATAGTCTTGTACGGTCTCTGGTCCCTCCAATGACCCTCCTGTCAATAGGTCTACTGGTATTCGAAGCTCTCTACCGTAATTGACATATGCCGGGGTAACTATAAAAGTTATATATAAGCTCTCATGTTCGGCGGTTCGGTATGACAGAACGAAGAGTGGTATGTACTTGCCCCAATCGTTTTGTTTCTCGTCTACCAATTTCGCCAAATTCCTCTAAAGGGTCTAGTTAAATCTCTCAACCATTCCATCAGACTGTGGACGGTAAAGAAAGAAAGAAAATACATTTATTTACCAAAAAAAAAGGACGCCCACAATAAAAGAGAAAAAAAAACTAAAATGAACAAAAAATAAAAGAAAATAAAAAAAAATTAAATAATTGAGAACACAAATACATAATTAAGATATAAACAAATGAAAAAGAACTTTAGCAAACCATAAATAGCGTGCAAACGCTATTCCGGTGAATTAGGTTAGCAGTTCAGCATTATGCTATGCCGGAAGTCAAGGCCCCGACACAGCGCTGATTTTCAGTGCTAGCCTTCTAGTTTCATAAAACTTCTATGCCTTACTGACCCAAGCACAGCGAAGTAATACTAATACCAATTATTATCTAACAATAAAATTAATTATACAACAAAAAAAAAGTCTTTAAAATATTATCAGTAATTGTCAATTACAAACATTAACAATATGGCGGATAATCTCTCCTCCATGCGCTCCGCCTAAAGAAAATGAATTTGTATTTGATATTACCGTGTAGAAATTATGTACAGTTATTATTATAAAAACATAATACGATGTATATATACAGACACACTGACAGTAAAATTAATAGTAATTAAAAAAGAAAATACCAAATAAAGTTTATGGAGATAAGACAACCTATCGATTGCTTACTAAATATTTCGTTCCATTGAATATCATCTATACAGAAGGTATGTATCATTATTATTAGACAACTATTTACTACTGTTTATAAATATTTAAAGGCGGAATCTAATAAAAAACCACATGGCGTTGCAGGTAACCTATAAAGAATGGCCAAGTCACTGAGATAAACATCCTAAGAACATCAGAATGGTATGGCAACAAGCACCAAGTCAAGTATGAATGGACTCCCAAGTATGCCGCTTCATTTTTCAAAAATCCCACCGGTACGCGGTGGTCCTCGTCTTATGCATACCCAAAATTCTGCACACTTCCTGGAATACTTGCGATTCGAAGTTCCTGCCCTG